CCCAGACAACTTTAAGGACATAATGTCCAGAGTGGCTGTCCCGCGTTTCTTCTGCAACGATGAGAGAAATGGGAGAGGAGTGGAGGTGTATGGTGGCCTAAAAGTCGGTCAGGCGACAAGTCAGTTCGATTACTTTGTCCGCATTGAAGTCTGTAACGAAAGCAGCGGGAGCTCCTCGGCCGAATTCCCCTTTTGGGGTGAAGAAAAGTTTCTTATTACTTTTTTTTCATTTTCTGATTCGGATAATTTGCTTGCACACACAGTCAGTAATATTTTGATCATATGAAAAATTTTCATCAAGATACATGTTCATAATGTTCTGCATCAAAATTGTTGTTGACTCTCTGTTGGTGTTTTTTTTTTTTTCAATATCGAGCCTCTTATAATTTGTTACATAGTTGAAGTAGTACTAGAGTATTTGTGTCTACACTTAGTCTATCTGAAGTGTCACTATAAAGCTGTAGTTTGAATGTCAAAGAAGGTTTTCCAGGTTGCTGTTGACAAACTTATGTACACTCAAATGTCAAAATGCATTGTATTACTATGATAGTTTTCAATAGTTGGCCACGTCTTGATCGAAAATGTTTGTTTTTATTTTTAATACCGTACCCAGAATTGTTGATTTCTTATAATACTAGTATACGAAGTTCAATGGATATTTCTCAGCCTCAGTCCCAGGTTGTAAAATAGACGTAAGGTTTTAATACAGCTATAACTACAGTAAAACACTTATATAGTCTTTTTGTTTTATATTTCTCATTGATTATGTAAGTTACGTCATATATTATATTTTCAATCTGCAATTGAACCTCAGAATATAGGAATATAATAATTATCAGGGAACGAGGTCGAAGCGCCCCCTGTAGTTCACTCTTGAATCGAAAAATGTGTTTATATGACATGTCACTTCCTTTTCACGTTGCGTGTTCAAACGACGTTGATGTATATTAAAGAAGGTGCCTGTTGGTATTGAGATTGACTGGTCTTTATGATCTGAGAGGTATAACACACAAGTCATGACTACGGAGGCACCTTTAAACTTGGTAAGAATCAATACAGTGTTGCAAAGATTGTGGAATTTATCGTAACTTGGACGTTTGTATCAAATATGCCATTTATTCATTACATTTAACGATTCCAGGTGTTGATATAAAATGTCGTACTTTTGTAAATATCGGTTTTTATGATTACTCTGTTTTTCTGCATTTTAGGCACTCACTACCATCATATAGAAATACTCAAAACTCAATTTCTCAATGGCAATTTCTGTTCCAAAATACAAGATTGTCGCGTGTAAGATAGTGTGACGTGGTCCTGCTGGACCCACCCATATTGGGATTGATTAAACATTTCAGAAAGGATTTTCCACAAATCATCTTCAGATTTAACATTATGAAAAAGCGACACTTATCATATATCTTGTATTGCCCGGCTTCGTAACGCTATGGGAATCCCGATGCGCGAGCCGTTCAATAATTCTCCATATCACGCCCGGGCCCCGTTTACCATATTTGGAAAACTCGTCTATTTCCTGAAACTACTTTCTGTTTACAAACAACGCGCGTAATTTGAGTCTGCGCTTCGATAATGGCTGACGATATTATTCAGTGGATGGAAAATATACCGAAAGACCAGTTGGACTGATGGACTCGTTACTACCCGTGTCAAGTTTACAGCACTACGATACTCACAGTCAGTTGGCATCGGTGTCGCTGGATACACCTAACAATACTGATGCCGGCTGACTGTGACGCCTGTAAGATCATCGGCGCATTTCTTAGTTGAGATACGCCAGAATCTGGAACTGTAAACCAAACTGCTTCTTGTCAAGCAATTGTTTCTCGTTCACCGACTACAGTTTTTAACAACCGTGAAATCAACGTGTCTCTACCTGCGGCTACAACATCTGCTCCAAGAAAACGCCCGTTGTCGGACGGTCAGTAAATGACCAACTTAGCTGGACTGTGTAGTGTTCATTCTTAAGAAAGAAACTTTATAATGAGTTTGTATTAATTACCATTAAAATATTGTTATAAATTTACGTTCATTATG